GAGGGGGTCACGGAGCTTTATAGGGAGATTGGTGTGGAGGTCACGCCAAATCGGGCGGATACGGGGTGGAGTTGGAGCTACGATGGACTCTCGACTCGGGTTAGAGTCCCGCTCGGGCAAGGCTAGAGGTGGGAGACGACTGACACGTGGGTCCTACCGGTCAACGAGAGAGGGAGCGGGTCCAGGTCGTCAGACAGACAGAGGGGAAGAGGAGGCGGGGACACGGGCTTTCGCGCGGCTTAGCTGCTGGGCCACGGCTGTGGACTTGGCAATGGGTCGAGAGAGCTTGGCCGTAGGGTCAGGCCGCCTACGCGAAGGAGAGGCCAGCAGGCCATGTGAGAGTGGGAAGAGAGAGGCCGGGTGGGTCGGACCGAGAGAGAGGAGAGGGAAAGGATTTCTTTTTCTTTTTCCTTTTCTATTTTGTTTTCAAAACCAAATTCAATTATGAACCAAATGCAAATTTAAAGAGTTTCAAATATACTTTTCAACTCAAATAAAATGGGCAATTTTGGTAGGCTTCCAAAAATAAAATTTTACACCTTTTTACGTTCTTTTATTTTCTAATTTTCTTTTCTTTTACTTCAAAGCCATTTTCAAACTCATTTCCAAAAGTAATTTAAACCGTTTTGAATTTTAATCAAAACCACTCAACCAAATAAATCAAATGCACCAGCATGTATGCACATCCATGTTCCTACTCCCTATGATAAATTTTAATAAAATCAAAAAAATATTATTTTTCCTCCATTTCATGTGCACAAAAATTTACAAATAACTCATTTTAATCCTATTTTCAAAATTGAAATTTTTAGGGTGTTCCGTATGCACATAAAACAAGATGGAGAGAGATAGAGAGAAATAGAGATAGAGATGTACTAAAAATAAACAGGTGTATTGGAAGAAGAAAAAGGTGCATTGCAAAGTGAGAGTGTCGAGTACCCGCTTCGTCCCCAAATAAATCAATTTATAGAATCCGTGCAAGTTAAAGTATATTAAGTTTGACTAACTTTGTAGGAAAGAGTAACAACATTTATGGCATAAATGAGCATATTATAAAAATATATTCTATGGTATATTTAATGATACTAATTTGATGTCATAAATTTTGATGTTTTTTTAGAAATTCAGTCAAAGTTTTAAAAGTTTGACTTAGATAACTCTAGAAATCTATTTATTTTAGGACGGAGCGAGTACGAAGCATCGCACACTCGTCTAGACGACTGACCGCATGTCTATTCATATTCTCTTCGCCTTGTCGGGTGTTCAGACGACTCGACAAGACGACATCGTAGCCGCGCAAGACGCCACGCCGCGTCGGCGCCGACGTCCAAATTAGCAGATGCGCCGGCACGAAACACTGGAGGCTATAGGAGTAACGGATCGTGGAAGTGGAAGCTCCAAACGTGGAAGCGAAAACTCTAATATGATTCAGCCTAGCTAATTTACAAAACATAGGGATTTGCTAAATTTTAGGTCCTTGGATTTTAGTTTTCTTTCGGACGGCGGTTATTGCATATATTTTATACTAAAACTGCAGTTTTAGTTCGTTGCAATTTCTACAGACACAGTCTGCAATTTTCGGTTCCGAAAATAAAAAACCAGTTAGACAAAACCACAATCCTGACAAAATCTGATATGTGTTGACACAAAGACAATTTAAAAATTGACAATCATTTTCTATAGTTAGACAAGGACAAAAATTTGATATGTTATAACAAATCACAAAAGTGACAATTTACTTGTACTAACTGTAGTACAAGAGTGTTGTCTGAAATCAACTTAAAATTCAGGCATCTGAAATATAGAAAAAGTGCAAAACATATTACTTCTTATATATGACTATGAAACCTGGTATGGTTTATTGGTTATACTCTACTTGTCCATTGGCCCTCTATATCCAGTTCCTGGCTCTGCCGCTGCGTCACACCCTTTTCAAACAAGCTAAACCTTTAACCTCTTTTGCATTCATCCCATTAAAAATATCATTCCAAGCACAAACAATACCCATACATGCACGGTCTTGGATCACAATACCAATGCCCACGAGTAGTTACTTGGCTAAAAGCTCCATTGACATTCAATTTCACTTAACCCTACTCTCAAGGTTTTCATGCTTTTGGTGGTTGTCTGGCTTTGCTTTTTTAATTTACAAGACGATACCCCGCGCGTTGCTGCGGAGATTTTGTAGCGTTGTATATGTCTATGAAGGAAGAAACATTCTTTTGTTTTTTGTTCTTCACGATTTTAGCACAAAATATTAATGGAAAACATGGCTCTTGAATCTAGATATATGCAATATGAGAATATATAAGGGCAGTTCCAACCATAAAATTATGTGGTAGTTTACATACTTGCTAATTAATATAGGCACTAACCATAAATATTATACTTCTAATGGATAGTTTCTAAAAAAATTGTAAAGGAACATTAAGCGTCTTAGAGAATGGACAAACAAAGGGATAGAACAATTTAAATAAAAAAATCTCTAAACCCATGAGAATATAAAGTAGCACCGCGTCTAGCGCGAGGCAGAGGAGCCTCTCTGTCGTGCGCCGCTTCAGCGATGACGACCTCATCTCCACTCTCTAGAGCGAGGAGGCGGTCGCGACAGGGTGGGGATCATGAGCTCGCAGGGGATTGGGGAATTTTCAAGAAGAGGACCAGGGAGAGCAAGAGGGAATTCAATTTTGAAGAAGAGATTGGGGGAGAAGAACTCAGTTCCTAATCTGAATTTATTTAATTTAACCGTCTGCCCGGGCTAGGCTTGGGAGGCCTCAGCGGAGCCTAGGCCTGACCCCGCAGACTGCATAGGGGCCGCTTAAGGTCTGATTGGTCTCACGATCATATAATCAAGGACATACAAGGGTGATAACTGGAAGACATTTTGTGGGTTCCTGGGCAAGGTCTGTGTGCTAGAACAGCTACGCTAAGCTTGTAATAAGTTGTTTTGCGTTTATTTTAGTGGCGAGACGCTAGGTGCTTGTTATCTGCTTGTTTTTGTGTCTGACGCTTTGGTGGGTGTATGGTTTCGCTCTGAACCCTAGGTGTTTAGGTCAATCAGCAGAGTATGGTAGCTATGGTAAATGGAACGTGGGTGCTTAAACCTCTGTAATTTTGTTGTGTTAAGTAATGAAATTTGGTGAAAAAAAAGATAGGGGAGAAAAAAATAACAATGGACTAATCGATATAAACGTTTTCCCCAAATGGTGTCATGGTCCAAAGTGGCAGCCGGTAAGAAGACAACACTTTGGCCCAATACTAAGAGCATCTCCAATTATACAAGAGTTTCTAGAACCTACTCCCAATCTTGATTTTACAGAAGATTGAAAAAACTGCTCTCCGACAACTCTCTATCTTAACTAACAATCATTCCGCACTTGGGAAAATGATCTAGTCACGCAGAAATATCTGCGCGTGTACCGATCGGCCAATCTGGAGGTGAAAGGACATAGGGAAGAATAAAGGGCAAGATATGATTCTGAATGGAAATGTAGAAGAGAGATAGAAAGTATAAAAGCAAATATCGTGATTTGGAAATAGTCTATGAATCCAGATGCAAAATTTTCTATATTTTAGGAGTGGTATTTTGGAAACTATTGGAAGCCCAACAAATATACTCTCAACTTTCTTAGCCACTTGGAAAACTCATTGATTACCAATTGTTTTTTAGGTACCACTGGAGATGCTCTAAGAAAAAACACTCGGTCTGCGGGGGAAGACGCCCCCAAGCATTATGGTTAAGATAGGAGACCTCTCACGTAGGCCGAGAAAATCTCCAGCTCCATGCCCCGGACATATAGAGCGGTGAGTGGGCCGGTCCTTGGACCTGTGGATGTTTTTTTACCTCCGCACAACGATCGCGCTCCCGTGGGGGATCGAACCCAGAGCGTCAGGGTGCTGCTAGAGCGCCTTGATCATCCGGTCTAGGCGCCGTTCGCGGAGATGCTCTAAGAAAAAATACCCCATGTTTCTTTTTACTCCGCAGAAGAAAAATAAGGTCACGTTTGGAAGGAAAATACTATTTTTTGAGTATTGGATAAATACTACAATTTTGTAAAATACTATGGTTTTCAAAAGTTGTTGTATGTTTGGATATTACAAACCTTGTAATTTTTAAGGTTTCGTCAAAATTGTGGTATTTTGGAGTTTTAGAAACTCCACCTGTGATCTCTTTTTTTTTTAAATCACGGTTTTGTATATTTTGGCTTATCATGTATATAAAGGGAACATATCTAGTGCAAACCAACCTCTCCGTGCAAATCGTGCAAACCAACTGTGGGGGAGAGATGGGAGGGGGGATTTGCAAAAGCAGGGGAGAGGTGGGAGGGGGGATTTGCAAAAGTGTGATTACTTACACTTTTGCAAATCCCCTCCCACCTCTCCCCCGCAGTTGGTTTGCACGGTTTGCACAGAGAGGTTGGTTTGCACTTGATACGTTGCCGTATATAAAACCACCACAGTTTTCTAAAACTACATCTCGGCCCTAAACCTCATATTTTCGCCCGTAGCAGAAGCTCATTCAATTTCTCATGGGCCGCACTCGGGGCGGGGCATTGGGGGACAGAGTCCAGAGCTCAGACGGCCTTGCCGATCCACTTTGGCACTTTCTGTGCGCAGCCGAGAGCGGACTATGGAACTTGATTGAGCAATTGCAGACCCCCAGTCAAGGCAATCGAGCATGACACGGTGACACCTGCCAGACTCTGGAGGCTTGCTTGTCAGCCATAGGCTATAGTATTCAGTTCACGACCGCTTCCGGTAACGACCTGAGCAAGATTGTAAGCGACTTGATCCAGACGCTTCCATGCAGGAGCATCCAAATTTCCATCTGCAGTGATGAAACGCAGATTTGGGTTCCATCTTCGTTTTTGTACAACACGTTTTGATTGATTGAGTAGCAAAACTTGTCAAAAACCAATGGAGTATGTACGTCGGCACTGACTGACACGGCCGTTGATTTGAATCAATGGTCGTCAGCGGTAGACGACGACCGGCGGCAGCTAGAAGCCGGAGTCCCGCAGGAAGGGTATCGCCTCCGGCCGCTCCTCGAGGTCCCGGTAGAACTCGTACTCGGCCTCGTAGTCGTGCAGGTCCAGCTCCCCCCGCTGCAGCGTGTGGTAGTGGTGCCGCGCGCCGGGTTCCTTGCCGAACCCGAACACGGACACCCGCCCGCACACGCCCGCCGCGGTCACCACGGCCTGCATCCCCGAGGAGTAGTGGAACATGCCCGCCTCGTGCCGCGTGCCCCACTCCTCCGCGGGCCGCCCCGTCTCGCGCACGAACCGGCGCAGCGAGTAGTACTTGACGAGGCGCGCGCACAGCGCGTCCAGCCGCGGGTCCGTCACGATCACCGGCGCTTTGGCGGCGTCGGCGCTGCACACCGCGTGCTCCACGAAGCGCGCGGCGTTGCACATGTAGGTGAGGATGGGCACGCCGTCGCCGTAGGCGCGGCGGCAGTACCGGCAGCCGGCGCTGGCCAGGCGCGGCGTGCCCGCGCACCCGCTCAGTCTCAGCACGTTGCCGTTGAGGAACGCAAGGCCGGTCCTGGCGCCGACGTGGCGCGCGAGCGCGAGTCTGCCCTCGCCGCCGCCCGCGGGCGCGTTGTTGAGCCGGATCACCAGGTCGTGGCTGTCGATGAGCGCGCCGTGCTCCCGCGCCAGCAGGATGCCGCTGTTGCCGACCACGGCGCACGACGCGTACGGCCGCATGTCCACGTCGTCGTCGTGCTCGTCCCTCTCCCCGCCGCCGGCGGCGTACCGGTCGATGGGACGCTTGATGAGGTCCAGGAGCTCGGCCATCACGTGGGGATCGAACCGCTGCCTGCCGAGCCAGTCGCGGAGGCCGCGCACCGCGGCGTCCCGGCGCTCCGGGGGAGCCCTCGCCCACGTCAGGTTCCGCTCCAGCAGCGTCTCGGCGGCCCGCAGCACCGCCGACGCGGCCGGGTCCACGGCCGCCAGCTCCGCGATCTTGGCGTCGACGACGACGTAGCTTCTTCCCGCGTCGTCGTCGGCGGCGGCGGCGGCGCGGTGGCTGGTGGAAGCCTGCTGCGCGTGCTGGCGCAGGGAGCACCGGAACGTGAGGAGCAGGAAGACGGCGATCAGCAGCGGGAGCACGACCGACGGGTGGCTCCACTGCCTCTTCATCTTGGAATAAGTACGTGCCCGGCAAGCAAGCTAGTTAAGCTTCCACGTTTGCGTGTGGGCGCTTTTTATTTGTTCGGAGTTGGCTCGGCAGGCACACATTGCTTCAAAATTCTAAGTTTTTTCGCTCTCTCTTCATCACATCAATTTTTAGACGTATGTATAGAGCATTAAATATAGGTAAAAAAATAACTAATTACACAGTTTGGTTGTATATCACGAGACGAATCTTTTGAGCCTAGTTAGTCCATCATCGGACAAAGTTTGTCAAATACAAACGAAACGTGCTACAATGTCCAGATTGCAAAAATTTGCAATATAAACAAGGCCCCAATGAAGCCGATCGTCGCTTTCATCGCTACTAAAAAAACGATTTTGCGCAGCATTCCACTTTTACACTCCGTGGCGGGCTCCTATTTTTGCCCGCTGCGGTAAATCCCACGATTTACCGTGGCGGGCATTTTTTATGTACCGTGGCGAGCATTTTTGCTCACCGCGGTAAATCGATTTACCGTGGCGGACGTCCTAAGACGTCCGCCTTGAAAAATACCCTATTTTCCGAGGCGGACGTCTTAGGACGTCCGCCACGGTAAATAGATTTACCGTGCCGGACGTCCTATGAGACTCGCCTCGGTTAAGGCCGTGGCCCAAAAGGCCCAACAAAGCCCGATAGCCGTCTTCACAGATAAATACGTAGTCTTTAGGGTTTCACTCTCAGTCTCGCTTTCTGCCTCAGCCACTCCCTCCCACCGAAGACCGAACAAGTCCGCACCTCCTTCCCTCTCCTTCCGTCGCACCCTCCCCGTCGTCCTCGCGCACACCTCCCTCCCTCTCCTTCCGTCGCACCCCCTCCCTCCCTGTCATCCTTCCTCTCCTTCCGTCGGCAGGGCGCGGTGGCGCCCGACTCCGGTGGCGCGCACGGAGGCGCCCACGGCGGGTCGCACGGGGCCACAGCGGGTCACCCAGGGCCACGGCGTCGTGCGGGGCCACGGCGTCGTGCGGGACAGCGGCGCGGGTCGCGTGGGCGACGGTGGCGCGCGGGGCGGCGGCGCAGGTCGCGTGGAGCCACGGCGGCTAGCGGGCGGAGGCGGCGCGGTGCGCACGGGCTGGCTGCCTCCTTCCCCTTCTTCTCCGGTGTCGAAGCGGATCCACGGCCCAGATCCGGCGACAGCGGGCCGCCTCCACCTCCGGCGACGGCGGATCTGGCGGCGCGGGCAAGATCGAGGTAATGGCACCGCCGTATCCTCTACCTCACTCTCTTTCTCCATCTCTCCTAGCTCCTCTCCCTCACTCCCTCTTTCCTTCCTCTCTCTTTCCATACAGGGAGGTGGATCTGGGAGGTAGAGGCCGGTCTTGCCCATCTTCGGCGGCAGCGGGGCCGTGGCTCTCCGATGCGGGGCCGACTGGATCCGGCGTGAAGAGGTGGAGGCAATCAGATCAGGGACGGCGACGGCGACGATGCGAAGATCCCGACGGCACTAGGGTTGCGGGCTGTGATTGGACTCGCTGGCGGGCTCGGGATATGGGCTCGCCGGTGGGCTTTGGGTTTTTTTTTTGTTTTTTTCCTCAGCTTTACCGTGGCGGACGTTCTAAAGCGCCCGCCGTTGCTAATAGGTTTACTGCAGCGGGCACTGGCGCCCGCCACGGTGGATTCACGATTTACCGTGACCTTCTCACCGCGGCGGACGCGTTTGTCCGCCGTGGGAAACAAAATTGCCCGCTGCAGTTAAGCATTCTGTAGCAGTGCATGTGGCCCACGATTCGTCCAGATTGGAAAGACGGCGTTCCAATCAAGCCCTGCGCACGTCCGTCCGCTCTCGCGCTGCTTCCAGCTTTTGCTTCTTGTCCCAGCTCAGCTCAACGCCGCGGATGACTTGGCGCGAACGCCATGGACGACGAACGACGGAGATCGTCGTACCACCTCGATAGTGTTGCTTAGACCAAAACCGATGCGGTGATAGGGCTAGCGAAGGTTCCAAACGCCGCCTCCCCCGGACGCCCGTGTTTTTTTGGTCGTGATCAACTACTCTACCAGGTATGACGCTCTCATTGCAACAGGTGCGTACGAAATCACAGCACCGGCTCTTCTCCAAGGCTCCCGGTGCTATGTGGACGCTTCCACCGCGCCGGACCATCCAAATTTGCAATCCAGGTTGGCAAGACTTGCTGTTTTCATCCTTAATCTCCTGGAGCAACCAGCACAGGCGATTTACATCAAGGCCAAACTTGATGCATACACTTCGGTGCTCATGGCTGAGGCTGCTAGCCTGGCTCTTGCTTCAGCTATCATCGACAGGCTCAACCTCACAGGCGTCAACTACTTGTCCGACTGTGAACTGGTTTACTTCCTCAACAGCGATGATCTCTCCAACCCTCCGGACTGGAGAATCAAGTATTTCACTCAAACCTTCTCCAACCATTCAAGAAGCAGGTCATCCAGGGTTTACAAGATACACAGGCGGCTCAACACCATAGCTGATGCTCTAGCACGACAGGCTGCAAAAGACTCTACCATCCACAACCACAACTTAGAGTTCTCCTGGTCCTTTGAGCACCATGTCTTTCAATGCAATTTGCCACAAGCTCTACAAGATATAGGCTTGGACTATGTAACAATCACTGCAGCGCGTTGCTGCTAAATATAAAGTTGTTTGTTGTAAAAAAAAAAAAAAACTACAACTAGTGTGTGGCTGGCTATGTGGGGAAGGCCATTAATCATTACCAAAAAAAAAAAAAGAGTCTGGGGAGGGTCGGCATCAGCACGTGGAAGGTGATGGATGGAATCCTGCAACTTCGTCGTTGCCGGCACGTCAGGTGGAAAGGATATCGGCGGTCTAATACGAACTGCGGATTGAGACATTCCCCCGCTTCAGTTCAGTACCGATCCATCTCACCATTTTTGGGTTTTTTTTAAGAGAATCTTACACTTTCATGTTGGAGCTCTAGAATCTTTGGATCCGATCCTGAGAACTTTATTGCCATTTCTGTATCCTAGGAACTTTATCCATCAGGGGTATTAGAGCATCTCCAAGAGTTCCTTAAACCCACTTCTAATCCTTGGTTTTTAGAAACAAGAGAAAAAATCTCTCTCCAACAGTTTCTAATATCTTCTCCAAATTTTTAGGCACTTGGTAAACTGACCCCAGGCGCGAGTATCTTTCCGTGCTCGCAGCCTAGCGCGAATCGGCAGCTTCCCGCGCGGCATCAATTTGGCGCCCCTCCTTTTGCCGCGAATCGGTCCTTGGCGTGCTCGTTCATCGCAGTTGCATCGGATCTCGGAGACATACGAAGGAAGCCGCTCCTCCATCGGCATCCAGAAGAGGTTCGATGCCGCTACTGTGAGGTGCTGAGGTACGTACGATCGGTTTTTCGTCTTTGCAGTATTGGTCTCCTCTCCCTCCGATCTGCTTTTGGATCTTCACGGTATTCTCGCGTGCTCCGTCGTGTCGTCGCCGTCGTCGTGGCAGTGTTTGCCGCTGTATCTGACTGACGCGTTACACGCAGTGGCAGTGCAGCGTATCTGCTTGGTCCTCCTTCCGATGACTGACGCGGTCCTCCTTTTTGATCTGCTCGGTCCTCCTTCCAATGACTGTGTTTGCTGCTGTATCTAACTGACGCGTGACACATATGAGTTTCCAATGTGTTTGCCGCTGTATCTGACTGACTGTGTTTCCAATGACTGTGTTTGCCATCCAGAACCCAAGCACCATGAGTCATGGGTCATTTCGTAATGATTTTGCATGATTAAGAAAGGGAAATACTTTGGTAATGATTTCTTTGTCCATATTTGCAGGCTCGTCGCAATGTCCGGTGGTGAATATTGGACTGATTTGGTCACAGGATTTGAGGGTGTTCGTTCTTTGGACGAGTTCAGCTTTCCCATGACATAGGAAACACATACATATGAGGACGTGCATGTAGGAGCTGGTGTTGAAGAACATGAAGTGCAGGCGTAGCAGCAGTGTGCTGAAGTTGTAGAAGTACAGATCCAGTCTTTGGTGGTAATAAATGCCCACGCGTTCCAAGGCCAAACGCCAAGAGGCAAAAAAATTCATTCGGACGAGGATGTAATTGTTGTCTTAGCTTGGTTGAACGTCAAAGAAGATCCCGTGCAAGGTGCTAATCGGTCTCATTCCTTCTTTTGGCGTAGAATTTATGATTACTATGAGACCCACGGAAGTCATTTGCAAGCCGAACAGAGTTCACTAATGCATAGATGGATGTATATTTTGGAGAATGTCAACAAGTATTGTGCTTGCTATGATGCGATTGAGCGAGAAATCAAAGTGGAAAAACCATTCATGACAAGGTAATTCTTTTTCTTATTTCAGTAATCTTAGAAGACATACACGTTGATATTTAATAAACGCATATGTTTCCGTGTTTCACGAAGCATTAACTATGTTCCAATGAATGAATGGTGAGAAGACATTCACTCTCATGCAGTGCTGGAACATTTTGAAGGATGAAGAGAAGTGGAAGGCCAAGAGAAGGAACTGGCAGAGCTGAAGCAAACCGGTAACAAGAAAAAGAAGGTTCGCCCAGACTCCACTCCCACGAATGTACAAGTCAACATCACTCAAAGATGTCACCGAGATTGCACCTCCAGAGTCCGAAGCTCGAAAGAGGCCACGAGGGACGTAAGAAGAAGGCAAAAGATGCTCTAAGGCGAGGAGGAGGTGAAGCTTGCATGGAGGCTTTGGACAAAATGTGGGCGAAGAAGGAGGCATTTGACATGGAGAAAGAGAAGAAGAAAGAGGAGAGGCACATGGCTTCACTTGAGCTAGAGAAAAGGCGCTGGCATTAGAAGAAAAAAAAGGTAGAAGCTGAATTGTGGAAGGTGGAAAATGACACGATCGAAAAGGAAGAAAAAATAATGGCAATGGACATTAGCGCCTTGACCCCGCTGCAGCAGCAGTACTACACAGTTATGCAGCAGAAGATTGTTGATCGTCGTTTGGCGAATTAAAACTAGTTCATGTGATTTTTTTCCATATAGCCAT